ATCTTTACAACTTTGATGGCTATATTTATAATGCTAAATTTATTACTGATTTCGTTGCAGATGATGCTAACTTTTAATTTTTAATTAATGATGATTTTACAAGTAAATAAAAAAAAAATGTTTTATTTATTTTTTTATTAGATAATTTATTCTATTTAGTGGTTAATTAATAATATTAAAAAAACTATTTATTATCTTAAATAAATCCTAATACATATGTTCAATAAGTTCAGAATTTATAAAATAAAGAGATTTATTTTGAAAATTAAGATTAAAATTTTACTATTTAATTATAATAAGAATTTTAAAATATGAATTTTTTAGCTTTTTGGTTTAATTTAGAAAATTCAATTGGTAAAGTCAATATTTTATGTATTTAAAATTATAAAGAGAATGCTGTATAATAAGAAATTATTAACTTATATTTAGAAAAAGGAACTGGCTCTTTATATAATATAAAAGCCTATACTTCTTTTAACAATCGAGAAATATAGCTTGGAAAAGACATAATATAAGAAAAATGTTTTATTTTATAAAAAAATAAATATTTATATTGTATTTCTTTAAAAAAAAGTTTGGTACTATGTTTATTTTAGTTTTTCTTTCCATAAACTATAATAAAATATATTTGCTACTTTAATTATAAACGAAAAAATAATTTAATAAAATATTTCTTTATTCACATACCCAAGTATCTTAACTACAAAATATTAAATATTATTCGGTTCATACATAAATACCTAAAGTTTCAGAGGTTTCATTGGAAAAGTGGCCGATATATTAGGCGGAGAGGGTACTTTTGTCACATTTGGTTAGATTTTCATCAAAAACTGTGCCTATTCTATCGGCTTATAAACTCCTTATTGTTCCTATTGTGACTTTGGGTACCTTTAGCACTAAGGGAAATGTCTTTTGTAATGTCCTGATGGTTATTATAAAGATATAGAACTTCGGAAATGCAGAAAATGTAGTATTTAATGTTCTAAATGTTCCGATGAGTCTACTTGTTTGGATTGCCCTAATAACTTTCCTTTAAAATTCCTAAGCTAATGTTTTAATTAATGTCCTGAAGGATTATTTATTAATAAAGAAAAATTAATTTGCGAATGTGATAATACATGTTTATAATGTTCTTATATTTTAAATTAAGTTTCTTGTTTGTAATGTAAATCTTCTGATTAATGGATAAATGGTAAAGAAATAAATAATTTTATTTTTTTTATATATATTTGAAAAAAAAGGATACAAATGTGTAGAATCTTATTAATGTCCTTTTGGAACTTTTGCTCAACCAATTACTATAAGTTAAAAATGTGATATAAATTGTCCTTTAAATCACTTAAAGAACATTCCTTCAAGAAGATGCGATTAAATTTGTCCTTTTGACACTTTCTTGAATCCTACTGATTAATAATGTGTATAATAATGTCCTCAAGGTTAGTTCGGGGATTCTGCTTCTAAATAATGTACTTTGTGTAATATAGAGTGCGAAACTTGTCAATAATCTAAAAAACCTGGGAAATATTTTTGTCTTACATGTAGAAATAAAGCAAAACTACTTCACGAATATACAGGAGCATGTGAATTTAAATGTTAAAAAGGTTTTAAATAAAATGTTATTTGCAGAGTGTGTCAAGATAATTGTCTTGAATGCCCAGAAGATTTTTATTTACTAGATTCAAAATGTGTACTTGAATGCCCAATTTCTTATGAAAAATCAAAAGATTAAACCGGCTTAATTAATATTTGTAAACCTTTAGATTATCCTATAGTATAAATATAAAATAAAACATAACTTTAAGACCCACTTTATGATTATTTGTAAATAGGAAGGAGAAAAGATTTATTTATTTAGTCCAATTATTATTATAATGGGGATATAAAAGAAATTGTTTGGTACTTAGAGGTTACTAAAGCAAGCGAAAATACGAATTTATTTTTAAAACGTTTAATAATTAACCTTATTTGATTATTCCTATTTAAAATCTAAAGCCAAATTCTAAATATAGCCTAAAAGTGAGGGTTATAGGCGAAAACGGTAAATTCGGAGAAGATAAAATTCTTATTTAGACTTCTTAGGAAATAACATAAGGATTATTTGAGATAAATCCTTTATAAGGAATTTCTGGTATTACTTAATTCTAAATTTAATATAATTTATGGTCTCATATATAAGAAAATTTGAATTTTGTTCTATCTTTTTCAAAAGAAAGTATGAAAAATTTCCGAAATAGAATTATTTTTTCAAAAGAATAAATTTATCCTATTTAGATTTAAAAAAATTAAGGATTTTTTTCCTTTGTTTTCCCACCATTTAGAACAGACAAAATTTTGGAAGTAGAATTGAGTGTTTATACATAATCGGAAAGTATAGTTTAGAAAATATAAATTTAGCTACAAAAATATAATTAAACTAATTTTAATGATATTGTGAGTTAGGTTTGGTGGCTTTAAAATGATTAATAGTAATATTCGCTTTAAGATTATTTATAAAAGACATAATATATGAATTTTTTATATAGTATTTAGCCAATGGAGGCTCTTTTGAATAATTTTAATAGGAATTTGATGAGATAGAGTTAGATTTTTGAACTTAATAAAACATACTGTGATGATAATTTGGACTGTTCAGGACATGGAGTGTGTGGGGTCAATTATTATGACGAAAACAAACATTATTGTAAATGTTAATGGGAACGAGACGGTGATTTTTGTGCTATAAAATAGAGAGATTTAGAAATTTTGAATTTAGTTACCTATAATATATTAATTGATCTTTTGAAAAAACTAGAAGCTTAGAAAATTTAGGATTCGGAAGTATTTTCTTTAGTACAAATAGTGAAAAATTTAGTTTTCGTACAGGACGGATTATCAAAAAAAAGTTTCAGATTTGTTAAAAAAGTGCTTTAAATGATAAATAAAAACAATTAAATATAATAAACAGATATTTATTTTATTATCCTTGAAATTATTTAAGAAATTCTATTTTAAACTAATCAAAGGCCTAGCCTAAGGCCTGATGAAAGGATTAAATTTTTAACTTAATTCAGGCTACTTTTTATTGATTTTGCTAAATAAATTATATAAGAAAATCTTAATTTAAATTAGGAGTTTTTTTATAGTTTTCCTTATTGTAATTTATACATAACTAAGTAAACAGGAAAAGAGTTGTTAAATAACAAAATTAATTAAGGAGATAAAAAATTAGTGATTCCTTTATAATATGTAATAGTAAATATTCCTGCTACTTTTTTTTCTTATTAAGACATAATTACTATTTTAGCAATTGAATGGAATATTGATTTGATTTATCCCACTCCAGAAACTGTTTCTGCTCATTTAGAAATATATATATATGATTATAATATGAATGAAATTTTAAATAATAAAGAAAAAATAACACTCTATTTTTTAAAAAAAACTTCTTTTTAACCTATTTTAAGTTCTTTGGATTAGCATTATCATTGCTCTTATTTAAATTCAATTAATTATACCACTGTTGAATGGACTTATAACCCTCAAAAGTGTACTTTTACATTTGAAAATGAATTTTATATACATTGCGAGTGTTCATATTTCAATAATTTTATAGTATAAAAAGGTTTAATAGAATATATTTAGGAATTTCTGCCGAATAAAAAGAATATGGTATTTTATTCATCTAAGTTTATGAATAAAATTATAAAAGCATTTTAAAATAATTACTATGACTTAGATTCTAATTATTAATTTGCTGTCAGAAATTTTGTCTTTCCGAATTATCCCGGTTCAAATAGAGATTTTTATATAGATTAACCTGTTCTTATTATTTCTATCGTTTTTTTTATTTTATATATTTTAGTTTCTCTTATACACTTTATTCATACAAAAGATTAGCCTATTTAACAGTATACAGCTTAGGATTGTAAGATTCTTTTATTAGTAAATTTATATATATAATGTTTATATTTCAAAAAATATATTTTTTTTAAGACATATCATCCATTAATTTCTATTTTTATATTTAGAAATACTAAAATTTCGCATACATTTTAAATGAGATTGACTAAATTTGTTTCTATTTTAATTGGAAATTTATGCTTTACATCTGCAGCCTATGAATAACTTAATTTAAGTATAGTTTAGATTAGTGAAGATTAGATTCTCATTTCAGCTACTTTTGCGGCTATTTTTTTAAGTTCTTGTTTGAATTATTGCATAGAAGCTTTATATTTTATTATTAGAATTCACGTTTTGAAAGAAAAAAAAAACTAAATTGTTTATAACATTATTTTTGTTTTAAATATTATAGGAAATGTGGCTTTTGGAACTATGTGTAATGGATACTTATAGTAATTTGTTTTATTTATTTTAAATAAATATAATAAAATATAGGAAAGAAAATTATGGAAATTTTATACTTTCTTATGCTCTAGGTTTAATTATTGACTTTTTAATTTTCGATTCATTAATTATCTTATATGCGTTTGTTTAAATTGATAGTCCTTTCTTGTAATTTTTGGCTTTTAGAGGATTTTTCATACAGCCTGAAGGAAAGCTGAAAATCGAATATGAAGAAAGTGAAAATTCGATAAAATAATAAGACCAAGGAGAAGAAGAAAACCGAAATTTAATAAAAGAAAATTAAGAAGAAATTAAAAGTAGACCATTTTCTGGATTAAGTGGAAATAGTAAAAATAGTAATAAAATTATTCCAGTAAATAAAAAATGATATATTTTTTTTACATAATAAAAATACACAAAATTAATAAGCTATTTATTTAATTTTTAAAAAATAAATAGTTAATTTTTTTTATAAATAAAAAAGAAAAAAATATATGTATTCATTATTATTTTATTATCTTCTAAAAAAAATATTCATATTATGAACAAAAATAATTAAATTTTATAAAAAAAAATACTAACTCATAAAGCAAATAAAAATAAAATAAAAATTCTCAAGATCGGCTCCATAATAGTCTAAAAAACAATTTAAACTTCTTACAAATAAACATATTTTTTCAACAATTAAGTATGTGATGCAAACGGTGAAGGATCGAATTCTGTGGCAACCATAAAAATTTGAAACTAATTTAAATTTAATTACGTAAAAGCATTACTAAAAACAAAAGAAATAGTTTCTTAAGAATTATAAATTTACATTTATGCTCCATTTGTAACATAATTCTATCCTAAACTTAATTTTTAAGGCAAAGAATCTTACTTTGTACTATAATTATCTAAGCCCAAGAATACAAATCCAGGAGTTGTTAATTTTATAGAATCAATTTTAATATTTCCATTTGTTGTATTTATATCTATAAAAAATTCTTTGTTAAACTATGGGTAAGCTATTTATTTAGGAGTTTTTTCCAGTTTACCCACACTTATTATATTAGGGAATTATTGAGTAGTTTAACTTAAAAAAGAAAGTTCCCATTCCGTAAATTAATAATTCGCATTTTTTTCTATGAATTTTTTTAACGAAAAAACATGAGTAGGAATACTCGTTTTATCTATTATTTTTTAAGAAACTTCTTCTTTAGGAACATTTAAATCAGGAATAAAAAAAATGTTCAAATTTTATTTTAATTAAGAGCTTACTAAAGGCTATTAATTTTTTGTATTAAAAAAATCATATTGATTTTTTAAAGAATTACATGTAATTTTATCATCAGTGTAAATATTATTAGGTCTTATTTTAAAAAATATACTCAAAAAACATACAAATTTGATTTTATCCTCTATATTTAGCCCTTCAGCAAATTAAAAATTCATTTATTACAAAAATCCATTATTATTTAATGTCTAAATTGAAATTTCAAGTATATTTGTGGAAAACTATCCATAATTATTTAAACAAAAAGCCTATATTTTATAAGGTTTATTTGCAAGTAAATTATTTATTTAAATTTCTGTAAAAAGACTATTATTTTTATTATTTTCGATAAATCCATATTACAATTACTATAAATCAGTATAGTCATATTGATAAAAATCATTCGCATTTTAAATTATTTCATTTTTTAATTAATTCAATTGATCATTAGTTAATTATTATTTTTATTTTAGGGCAATCTTAGCAGCAGAAAGTTAAAAATAATCCACAATATTATCAATTTAAACTTTATAATAAATTAATCCTGAAGTAATAGGACAATAAGGCCTGAAAATTAAAGAATTAATATCTACACTATTATCTTTCCCTTAAGTAATTTAATATCTGACTCCAGAACTTTCTATTTATGTCACTTCGACTATAACCGGCTCTAATTATTAAAAATAACTAACAGAGTTTTAATCTAAACTCGAACTTAAAATAAACTATGCTTTCGTTTAAATTCCATTTATAGACGTATTGGAAGCTTTAAAACTAAATTAAACAGCTGGCTTATCGTTTTTTGACGATAATTTTTTTTTCTACAAATCTCCATTTATATTGATTCCATATGTTTAAGAATTAAGCACTATAGCCTATATATACAAATCTTCTGTAATAAAAATATTATTATTTGAAAATTTAATGATTAATGGTTAAGAAACACCTCCGTTAGGCACTTAAACTAAACTGGAGGAAACTTAAAAACTCTAAACTTCATCAATTACTTTAATTAAGCAAATCGGTATTGAAGTATAATTATCAAAATTGTCAAAAAGTATCGAGAAATACACTACATAAGAACTTGTAGGAGTTCCTTTATTAGCCTATATATAAAAACTTATTTCCGAATCACCTGGATTTCCAAATGGTTAAGAGGGTTAAATTGTAAATAATGAAACGTCTTTTAGATTTATTTTTAAAGGAAAATTAAAAATTCCTGATTGTACCTTTATGGCTATTTTTTGTTTAAAAGGACCTTTTAATACTTTAAAATATTTATTTTCGGTTTGTTCAAATAAAGGATATTTCCATTCAAGCACTTGCTTCTATTTTTGAGTTTGAAAATTTATTGGCTTCATTTAATTTAGTAAAGGATTCGAGACTAATTTTAAGTTTATGTAGTAAAAAGTCCATTATTTTTCTAAAAAACACACTTTTTCTTAAGGATTGGCTAAATTTGTTATTTAAAGTGTAAAATCTTCATTTTAAGTTGGTATATAGTTTGTTTGGAAAATTAATTTTATGAAAGAAGTAACATTATAATCTAAAATTTTTACAAGAAGCTAATCATATAATCTTTTTACTTGTACACTACTGTCGTTTAATTTCAATATTTTCTTCCAATAATCCGGAAAAGTAATTATTAGAGTATGTGTTGTCAATTTATTTGAAGGATTTGATGAAAAAGCTCTCTTATTTATTTAAAACGAAAACTGGAATGTATTAGGAGTTTTTATATAATTATTTTATAGCTAAATTTCTTTTATTTCTAAATAATTTACCTCTTGATTAGCTTTATCATCAATATCATTTATTTCATCAATAAATCCATATGTAATTAATTATATTTAACCTCCTATAGAATTTTATTCTTTTATTATCGCAAGGAAAATATCTTTTCCTTTTTTGTTAGTATAGGGTATTTGTATCCCATTTATACTTATATTTAATATAAGATCATTCGGTGGTACATTTGCTATTTATAGTATATTATTCTATTCAGTAGTACACAGGACTTCTAAATTATTAATTAAACATCTCAAAGAGGAATCTTAGGAAAGAGTTGGTAAATAAACTTTAGGGAATCTTATTTCTATATAGGCTGCTTAATTTACTAATGTGTCGAGTTCTACTTTAATTTACAAATTGCAAATAAGTCCATAAATATTGCAATAATTATCTTTTTATAAACTTATTTTAGAAGATAATTTAGATGGTTCAATTCTCGGAAAAGCACAAAAACCTTAAGATTGAACTACCGTAAAAGTATTTGTGGCTTCGTTTAATATTTTTAAAAGCTATAACGTTGGCTATGTGGTAAAAAAGAGCAGATTTGGTAAAATTAAATTCCTACATTCTAATATAAAAGGATTCTATTCATCATAAAGAATATCATTTTTGACCAAAATTTATACAGAATATTATTTTTTGCATCTTATGATACTATCGAATTCGAGAAATCATGGCTTATCTTATTTTATTAAATAATATAGCAAATTATATTATTTAAATTTGATTTATTTGAAACTCCAATTTCATTTGGATTACTTAAACTGAATAAAAGGACTTCTTCTTTAAATAATTACCTTTTATCTTCTAAATTAAATTAAAAGCTTAGTTTCGTTTCGGCTTGGGCATATTAATATTTTAAAGAAAGATATTTTTACAAGATAATTATTTAGGGCAACGTGGCTAGATTCTCGTAAGAAACTACACCAGGGAAACCTAAAGAAGAGTCCGTCTAATCGATTATATTAAAAGTTATGCTTGATTCTATTCTAACAGAAAACATATTGTTATTTACAGGACTAGTAGGAGCGTCGTTTCCATAATGTAGAATTTAAAATTTTCTAGGCTATAAGGGTTAATCTAAATTAGATATTTAAAATATTAATATCATTGCATTTATTTAAAGCTTATCTACTTTACAAATATTTTTTTCTTGAATGTTTAATTAGCATACATCACCTATAATCGGCATTTAGAAAGGAAACTTGAATTCAATTACTATTCTATCATTATTTGATATGGGATTCGTAGTTTCAAATGACCAAACTAATCTAATATTTTTGGCAAAAAGTCGAATTTTAGGAGTTAATGAATTAAAATCTAATTTAATTAAATTAGGAGATCCTATAATTTATTATTAAAATTACAAAGTGGATAAATCCCCTTAATACGAAGAATACCCAAAAGAAGTATCAATAGGCAAATGCGTTCCATATTTATAAGGCAAAATAAAATTCGTTACAACTACTTGACTGTAAATTTTCGGAGTTCCATTTTCTATAGAACAGAAAAAACCATATCTCCACTTATTTATTAATTTATCTTAATTATATTAAAACGAAAGACATTTTTTAGTTGATTATAAGGAAGCTCCTCCCCAAAAGAAATTTTATTATTCTCCTCTAAAATCAAAAGAAGTTGCAAAAGTAAAAGCCGCTCCATTATTTTGAGTGTCTGAAGTTTTTGTATTAGTCACGATTACATCTCCCACTTCAGTATGTCTTGCATTTATTATTATATGTGATTATTTTTCGCCTACCTTTGCATTCTGTAATTCTAAATTATAATTATCTATACTCACAATATTTTTCTTCATATAATTAGATAGAAGAAGTGCACTATTACTTTTATAGCTTGTAAAGTCAATAATTTGTTTCGTATCTTACATATTCCTATCTCCTGTTAGCCTAAAAACTGAACATAATTCAAAAAATTAATTTTTATTTAGACCCGCTCGGCCTTCCCTTTCATATTTATTATGGTATTTCATTGTTCCTACAAACATATCTAATACATATTATTCTTAAGTTCTTATCGGAATTACAAATTCAAAAGAATTCACTGAACCTTCCGGGACTTCTTCAGGAAATTCCACTTCTATTCTTCTCATATTCAAATAGTTTTATTAAGGATACTTATCGTTAGCTTACTAATAATTTGAAAAACCTCTACACTTAGTATCTACTTATCCAACTGAAGAAGAACACGAAATTTCAAAAGAAGTATCAGAATTATTATCATAGAAAAAATCTAAACCTGTAAAGAAAATAACAATACGTTAGTTTCCCTATCTTTTTTCCACTTTTGTCAAATAACCTCCTAATCTAATAAAAGTGGGAATATTCTACCCTTAATTAGTAATACCAGAGCCTCCATACCAATTAACCGTACTATACCTCAAATTAAACGGTTTAGGGGAGTTTATTGTATACCCATTAAATAAAAAAGCTGACATTAACTTAGGTTCGTGGCTATCTATTTAATCATAAAAATAAAAATAAAAGTCTAATATATTATCATCTGCATAAAGGGATGAATGTCTTCTCACAAAAACATTTTTCACTCCAAAGATTTTATCATTAGTGAACATATTATCCAAATCACTTCTTTTTGAAGTCGATATTTTCAGTCGAGTAAATTATCCTAAATTTTAGTTTAAATATTCATTTTATTAAATTACAGCATTCGATATTAAACCTTCTCCTACTTTCAGACTTGATATTGCTTATTAGCATATTTCCATATTTGAACTATTTTCGAATTCAATAACATTCTTATTCGCTATTAAGTAAAAACCTGCATTATTCGGAATAGTTTCATATATTACAGGAGGAATTTGAGTATTATCTATAACAATTTTAGTACTAGTAATTTTATTTTCTATATTTTATATATTCATTAAGAATACCAGTTTTTATTTAGTATCTTTTGTATCTTCAGGGTTTATGCCTAAAAATCCATTTTAAGAATCTGATATAGGATTATAAATATTTTTATCAGTTCCAAACTAAGGTTAAGATGTAACAGCTGTGTAATAGGTATTTTTCATGAAATAATCTTAATTAGGTAATAAAGGAATTTCCGATTTCATTTAAAAAGCACTATTTAAAATTAGAGACTAAATATTAAGCTTTTTATTTACATTTAATAAGATCTTCATTTCTACATTTTAAATTTTATACATTTTCAAAATACAATCATTATCTTTTTATAAATCAAATATTGAATAATCATCTAAAAATTTTAGAGTACTCCCACATTATTAAGAAATAGACTAAAAAGAAACCCTAGCCCCTATATTATACTCAAAATCTTTTTTTAATTCCCCAATATTGATACATTTTATTGAATTAATATTATTTTCGACAATTCTTCCACATTCTACTCTTTATTAATTCAAGATATTTTAAGGCAAATTACTAAATATACTTCCAGGTAAAATCTATACATATTTATCATTAAAATTTTGTTAGATTGTTATTATTATTTCCACTCCGTCTAATACAGGCGAATTTTTATCTAAAGTAAATACAAATTGCATTGAATTATAAGTCAATGTGTAATCGTTTCTTATATTTGTGAAAAAATTCAATTTTTAATTAGGGCCTACTTATACTGAATTATCTATTCCCCAAGCTAGTTTAATTTAAGACTTTTTTAGTTTAATTTGACTTACTCTGAGCATGCTTTCATTATTATTACCCATTTCTAATACTTCTCGGTTAAAAAGCTTTAATCTTTTTACTTTAATGCTCTCCATTTCAGCTAGATTTAAGCAAAAATTTGGATTTTTCACAAAAACAGAAATTCTGAACCTAGATTTAGCCTCTAGAGGTATATAAACATCGAAAGTAATTTTCTTGTCTTCCACTTTGCAAGCGTACTAATCAGTTTTAAGTGCCTAAATAGTATAAGAATTATACAATTTAGTCTAACTATTACATATTTGTCCTTTTTCTTAATTATAAATGAAATTAAAATACGAGCTTTCTCCATTAGTAAAATCTATTTCATATCTAGTTCCCTAATCATGTGAAACAGAATTCATAATATCGATAAAGACTTAATATTCGGCATTAAAATCTAATTGATTAAAAGCAAATATTTCGTACTAAACATCCAAATCGGATCTATTTATAGCATCTGTTAAAGCCAAAGGACTAAAAAAAGGATTAGAATCATAAATAATGTAATTTTTTTCTTTACTAGATACACTATAAATTTCTATATAAGGATATATTTTTTTACTTCTAGTATTAAAAGTGTCACCTTTAATTATTAATTAATATTCTTTTTACATTTCTAGTTTTCTTTCGAAATTTATAAAATAAATTTAATCTGTAATTAAATTGCAAGTTATTTAAGCGTTTAATTTTTTAGTTTTATCAAAAAATAAGTCGCTTGAAAAAAAATTCTGGTCTTAATTTTATGCTTGACATCTCTATTCGTCAAATTCTAAATAATAGACTCTTAAGTCGCCACAATTGTTAGAATTTTAAATTACATATGGCATTTTTATTAATAAATAATCTGTTTTGTCTAGAATGTTTTCGAGTTTAAAATTAAATTTATACTAAGAAATTAAGTTGTGATTTAGGTAATCAACTTATACATCCCAACCTCTTATCTAACCAGCTCGGGAAAGCTAAAATAAAATATATAATAAAATTAATATATGTTTTATTAATATTTTTTTCATTTTAATAATATATATATATAGTTAATTATAATAAAAATTATATTTGATATTAATTAAATAAAATTTTAAATATAAAGTAAATTCAATATAATATAATTTAAATTAATAATAATATATAAATTTATTTTTATATAACTTTTCTTTAATTATATAATTAATAGAGTTAATATATATATATTGTTAATATAATATTTGTTTTATAAATATATTTAATAAAATCCAATTACACTATTTATTTTTAAAAAAAAGTAATAAATTAATCTTCTTAACAATTTTTTTATAAATATATCTTGTAAATTTATTCATTAATAAAAGCTTGAATAATTGTATAAAATTAAAATAATATATACCCAATTTAATATATATTAAATAAATCTTCATAAAATTTTTTAATAAATTATATATTTCTAAAATATTAATTAATAAATATATTTAATAATTCATTAATTAAAGATAAAATAAAAAGAAATTAAATAAAAGATTACCAAAACGATAAAAGATAATAAAATAAAAAATATTAAAATTTTTAGAGATACTTACAATTTTCTATTTATAATTACATTATTTTTATTTTTTTGATATGGTCAAATAAATTTATCATAAAAAATTATAAAAAATATTTTTTTTAAAAAAAAATAAAATAAAAAAAGGTCTGCATATTGAACTAATGTTTTAAGAAATTATATTTAAAACTATATATTTATTTGATGATATGACTTAGGAATACAAAATGCATATTTAATAATACTCGAAAAATCACTAAATTGCATCGATCGCATAAAAATTACTTTATTTACGAAATCAATCATAAAATCATTATTATTACGAATACTACTTCTAGAGTAATATCATATATGTTAGGAACTAGTTTATATAATTTTTAATGACGAGCTTTATAAAATTATAAATTCAAAATTCAAAAAGAGGATAATTTATTATATTATAGAAAATTCTTAAAATATAAAATTAAGCAACGTTTTATAGATTGATTCTGGAAGGGTAACTTTTTTATAAAAAAACATTCATAAATATAACTATTATTATAAAATCACATAATATATACGTAGATAAATAAATTAATTAAGAAATACTTTTAACTCTTATAGCAAAAGTAAAATTTCCAGAAAGAATTTTTATTAAATATAAAATATAAATAAATAAAAAAAATAACTAATAATAAAAATATAAATACTTATGGAAATAAAAATATATATATATATTTAGAAACAATTTATCTATCCTATTTAATTTATTTCTTATGATGCCTAAATATTTTATTAACTTTCTTAGTATTTGAATTTGCCCAAAAAGTATTTTTATACTTCCCGAATTTCATAAATTTTCTCAACCTAAAACTATAATCTACAATCTTAATAAAAAGCATACTTTTAATGGCACTTAAAATAAAATTTTAATAAAAATCTTAAAAATATTATTACCAATTTATTAAATAGCCAAAATTTTAAATTGTTTATTAATATATAAGCCTTCTTTATCCTCAAAGCAAACCTATAACATCAAAAGTGCTCTAATTTTTTCATTAAATTTAATATTTAAAATATTTGCATTTTCTTAAAAAACTCCATACTATAATCATACGAATAAACCGAAACAATTTGCTCTTAATCATATTAACAAATGAAATTTCTTCAACTAAGCATTTATAATTGCACCCATATCCATTTTTAAAATTATTATATCACATTAGTCTTAGAAAATTTGCCTATCACCAAATTAATATCTCTTTTATATATAACCTATAACCTTCTTTACATTATAACGATATGCAAGCTTTTTTAATAATTTTTATCGAAAATTAATTCATTATTAAGCATATTACACTTTTTAGCAAACAAAAAAATTCACTTAATAAAACTTCTGTTTATCTGACATTAAAAACATCAATTTTCTTCATTAAACTTCGCAAAAAAAAAAATATCCTAATTTCAAAAGTTATTTATTTACAAAAAAAAAAAAATTAAGAATAATTTCTGATCAATAAAAATATAATAAACTTAAAATTAAACTAGTGACAACTTATATATTATAAAAATTTAAGTAAATATAATTTATTAAAAAGTTAAAAAATGTGATCTTTGGTTGTTTGTTTAACCAATTATTATTTTTTCAATTTATTATATTTATATTTTATATTTAATTTTTAAATATAAATTTTACTTTTTTTAGTTAATATAAAGTATATTTTTATATTTTTGCAAAAATAAAGACATTTTAAAAATTAATTTATTAAAATAATAAAAATTAATTTAATAAAAAATCTAACTAATATCATTTATTTAAATAAAGATAACAAAATATTTTATTTGATTATATTAATAAAAACATAATTTAAAATTTTTAATTTTATTTTATTTAATTTGAATTGTGAAGTTTTAAATTATTTTTTTATTAATAATAAAAATAAACAATATTTTAAATATTTATTAAATATTAATTATTTAAAAAATTATTAATATCTTTATAAGATATTTAAAAAGGTATTAGTCATTTATATAAAAAATATAATACATTTAAAATAGAAAAATTATAATAATTATAATAATTTAAAAAGGAAAAAAAAAAATTAGAAATATATAACTCAATAATATAAGGATATTTAAAAATATAATACAAAAATTAATTTTAACTTTTTTGTATAAAATTTTTTATTAAAAATAAAATAAAGAAAAATCAATAACTTTATTATAATAATATAAATAAAAAAATTATGATATTTTAGAAATTTGTATTAATATTAAAAAAAAAATATATATATATAAAATAAAATATATATATATATAATTATATAAATTAGTAAATAATAAATATCAAATTTATTTATATTAGATATTTTTTTTTAAATATATCAATTATTTCCTTTGCCATTTAACCCATTATAGAAATTTTAATTGAAGTCACATTATTTATCACTAGTTAATTACCAGATGAAAAATCCTGGTACTTATAAATTATGTTAGTCTTTAGCTTATTTGCAAATTTATCCAAGGAAGTAAGGATCAGTTAACCCTGTATTATAAACGTCTGCTGCTGAAGCTGGCTTACCCAAAATAATTTTATTAATTGGGACTTCTGCGTATTTAATAATTTCTTTATAAGATGTTTGTTTGAAGGTATTTCCACTTTCAATGAATAAATAATTGAAATTATCATAGCTATTCTAACCTTAATTGTAAAATTAGACATTATACCAGTCTATTAAATGGCCAACTTCTTTATGAATTGTAGCATATGCGCCATCTTTATAATATATTTTCGAAAAATAAGGAGCTTAAGGTGCATGCGTTATATACATATCTTTATTATTTAAACTGTTTCTTAGTGTTTTTGTGAATTCAATCAACCATGGTACTCCTTTTTAAGATTCCATGGCTTCATTATCTTCATAATCAATATCAATTCCGTCTATATATGGTTAAGTATTTACCCAGTCAGCTAGTTTTTTAGCTACAACATTAGGATCTTAATTTGTCGGATTATCTGTGGCTCCAAAAGCGCTTATAAATAGTCTTTTATTTTACTTTTTAAATTCTTTAGCAATATATTATTAGACTTCTCTATCGCTTTTTCCATATATATCACTTCCTACATAAGAATGTATATTTTAATAAAATATAACAGCATCAGCAGCTCCTGTGTGTGAAAGCCAAAAAGTCAATATTATTACATCATAGCATGAATAAATACCTAAATTATCTAATACTTTAGTACCATACCAACTAGATATTTTATTAACATATGCAATGCTTTTGAAAGGAGGCTCTTATATTCTATTTGTTGGTTAAATAGGAATTATAGGTTATGCTGGATAAGTAGGCTAGCTTGGTTAATTCGGTTATGAAGGTTAATTCGGTTATGAAGGTTAATTTGGCTATAATGGATTTCCTTTGCCATTTAACCCATTATAGAAATTTTAATTGAAGTCACATTATTTATCACTAGTTAATTACCAGATGAAAAATCCTGGTACTTATAAATTATGTTAGTCTTTAGCTTATTTGCAAATTTATCCAAGGAAGTAAGGATCAGTTAACCCTGTATTATAAACGTCTGCTGCTGAAGCTGGCTTACCCAAAATAATTTTATTAATTGGGACTTCTGCGTATTTAATAATTTCTTTATAAGATGTTTGTTTGAAGGTATTTCCACTTTCAATGAATAAATAATTGAAATTATCATAGCTATTCTAACCTTAATTGTAAAATTAGACATTATACCAGTCTATTAAATGGCCAACTTCTTTATGAATTGTAGCATATGCGCCATCTTTATAATATATTTTCGAAAAATAAGGAGCTTAAGGTGCATGCGTTATATACATATCTTTATTATTTAAACTGTTTCTTAGTGTTTTTGTGAATTCAATCAACCATGGTACTCCTTTTTAAGATTCCATGGCTTCATTATCTTCATAATCAATATCAATTCCGTCTATATATGGTTAAGTATTTACCCAGTCAGCTAGTTTTTTAGCTACAACATTAGGATCTTAATTTGTCGGATTATCTGTGGCTCCAAAAGCGCTTATAAATAGTCTTTTATTTTACTTTTTAATTCTTTAGCAATATATTATTAGACTTCTCTATCGCTTTTCCATATATATCACTTCCTACATAAGATGTATATTTTAATAAA